TAATTGACGAAAGTCAAAACTAGATTTCAACTTTTGTCAGCGTGAACCTTGAGGTTTCATCTAACAACTATAATCTTGACAAATAGAATAAAATTATAAATGATTCAGATGCTGCCAGTGAAATTAAAAAGCAATTCCTAGATTCAGATTTTATGTACACTAGCAGTTAAAAGTATTTATTTTAAAATTATGCAATAATATTTATTAATTAAAACTACTATAATCATGTTATATATTAATAGCTTTACTAAGTTTCTACTAAGTTTCTCTTTGTTAAGTATTATATTAAGCTTATAGTGTTTATAATTAGATAAATTTATTATTTATTTTATATTTTATATTGGTATTTAGATTTGAGTTAATTACTTTAAAGATATAAATTTATTACTCATCATAGTCTAAAATTTAATACAGTATTTCTCTAACTCTAAAAAATGCTAAAAAAATGTGCCTCAAAAATTTATATTTTTTCAGTGACTTGTCTATTTGATACTATTAGAATTCATTTTAATCTGTCACAATTATTAAACAAACATCAAACTTATTTTACATCCTTTCTAATAAAATATCGTATTATATCAGGTGTTTGATAAGTTCCCAAATAAGACCCTTTTATTGATCACTAAATAAATCACCAAATACCGGTATAAAAAATATGTAAAAAAAAAAAACAAATACGAGCAGAGATATAAAAAAGGTTCTAATAATCTAATTTTATTCTATATAACTAATTTATTTGATAAATGCCATAAATTTGCTATAAGTACAATAGATTCCATAAGTGCAATAAATTCTATAAGTACAATTTATCACATAATCATACTAAGCTGCAGTGACCATGTTATGCAAACTGAAAATTAACTTTGCGTAGCCTTAGATATGAACATGAATCTATTAATTCACAATAGATTTTTTTTTAAAAAAAAAACATACTTACCGACTGGAATTTTGAAGCACCAAATTATGCAAACAAAAAATTAACTAATAAATATTTAAATACATTCTTATCTACGTCATATTCAAACCAATCTACACCTTCTAATGATTGTTGTATCTGATTTCGTAAAACAAGAACTTTAACGCTCATTCTGGAATAACATATAACTGTTGGTCCAATTATAATTTTTTAAGATTTTTGTATTTTTTTTTCAAAGGTCTTTTAATTCTCTTTGTAAATTTAAAATATTGGTTGCCAAAGAGGCATCTTGAAGAGTCCTTTTAATTTGATTAACTGATTCCTCTATAGCGTTTTCAAACACTTTCCTTTCATATTCAGTAGATTCATAGGTAAATTCATAGATAGGTTTGTAGATAGGTTCGTAGGTAGATTTGTAGGTAGATTTGTAGGTAGATTCATAGATAGATCTGTAAGTAGATTTGTAGGTAAATTTGCCATAATTTGACATACGGGACACTTGGTGTATAGCTAACATGCAGGCAGCACATAGGTTAATAAAAAACTACTATATTGGTGGTATATCGGTGTTTCTAAAGGTATCCCAGAGAGTAAAGCTGAGAGATTTGGATAGATCTATCACATTTATTTAATTGCAGCTTCCTTTCTATCCTTGCTCTCAAACACCCCTCCCCTCTTACTACTACAAATTTTATATTCTAACTACTGTAATCTTTCAATATAGGCTATAATAAAGGTTTTTTTCTCAATAGAAGGACTTCGCTACTTTCTGCAATATCTTCACTACTAATAACCTCACCAAACCTCTCTACTTGATACAACATTCTTATTTTTTTCAACCTTTGTGAAAACTTTAATGAATCGATCTTTAATTTAGTGGTATTATCTATTATTCTGGCAATTATTCTGTTGTTATTAATATATAAGAAAAAACCTCTATACCTCATCGTGGCAAGGTCTATATAGTCTGTTTTTGCCATTTTGTACTATAGTGTGTAGTTAGCAAGAAATTAGAATATTTACATTTATCGTTATGCATAATGATAGATTTTCAAAGTTCAATAACGTGACTAATCTACCAATCAATCGCAATTAGGGACCTCAGTGCGATGCGAAATAAAATGCAAATTATGCGATGCGATTGGTTCAAATTATGCCCCCGATGCG